GGAGGGAGAAAGAGAGGGAGAGAAACATCAATGTGTGCTTGCATCTCGCACGTCCCCTGCTAGGGACCTGGCCTATAACACAGGCATGTGCCCTGACTGGGAATTGAACTGGTGACCCTATGCTGTGGAGCCTGGCGCTCAATCTGCTAAGCCACACCAGCTAGGGCAGAATTGACCTTTTACAATAAAACCCAAGAGGCAAGTGAATACACAATTCAGAGAAGAGCGAAAGAACTTAGGTGAGAGCAATGGAGATAAGACATGGATGATGGCAACAAAAGTCAGCAGTAACTATGAGGATGGCAGGAAGCTGACACTCAAAGAAATAAAATGAAAGAAGATGAGGTGGCTTTAAAGTTGGGGAGAGATTCCTCAGTAAGTTAAACACAGAATTACTAGATGACTCAGAAATTTCACTCCTAGGTATTATACACCAAATAACTTAAAACATATTGCACACAAAAACTTGGATATAAAATCTTGTACTGGTTCATATCAGCATTATTCACAAAAGCCAAAAGGTAGAAACAACACAAATGCCCATCTACTGATGAATGGATAAAAAAAAATGTGGTATGTTGCTACGATGGAATATTATTCAGCCACAAAAAGGAATGAAGTACTGATACATGCTACATTGTGGATAAATCTCAAAAACATAAGAGAAGCCAGACACAAAAGGCCATGTGTTATATAATTTCATTTATGTGAAATTTTTTTTCATACTTGCCTATTTTTGTAAACAATGCTGCAATAAACATGGGGGTGCATGCATATATTTTTTTGAATTACTGTTTTTGTTTTCTTTTTTTATTTATTTTTTATTTTTTTAAATTAATTAATTTATTTTTTCAACTACATTTGTCTCTGCCTTCCCCCCACCACTTTCCCTTGCCCCCTCCCTCAACTCTACCACTTTGGTTTTGTCCATGAGTCCTTGCTATATGTTCCTTGACTTTCCCCCTTCCTTTCCTTTTCCCCTGCCCCCCCTTCCCTCTTGTCTCTGTTGGTTTCTTTTCCAAGATATATAAAGAACTCACTCGACTCCACTCCAAGAAGACAAACAATCCAATCAAAAAATGGGCAAAGGACCTGGGTAGACGCTTTTCCAAAGAAGAGATACAGAGGGCCCAGAGACATTTGAAAGGATGCTTGGCATAACTAGCCATCAGAGAAATGCAGATCAAAACCACCATGAGGTACCACCTCACACTGGTCAGAGTGGCCATCATAAACAGATCCACAAACAACAGGTGCTGGCGAGGCTGTGGAGAAAAGGGAACACTAGTCCACTGTTGGTGGGAATGCAGACTGGTGCAGCCATTGTGGAAAGCAGTGTGGAATTTCCCCAAAAAGCTGAAAATGGAACTGCCTTCTGATCCAGTGATTCCCCTGCTGGGACTATACCCTAAGAACACCAAAACGCCAATACAAAAGAACCTATGACCCCAATGTTCATAGCAGCGCAATTGACAATAGCCAAGTGTTGGAAGCAACCTCAATGCTCAGCAGTAGATGATTGGATCAAAAAATTATGGTACATATACACAATGGAATACTACGCAGCAGAAAGAAAAAAAGAACTACTAAACTTTGCGACAGCGTGGATGGAACTCGAGAGCATTATGCTAAGTGAAATAAGCCAGGGGACGAAAGACAAATACCATATGATCTCACCTATAAGTGGAACCTAACCAACAATACAAAGATGCAAGGAAAATAAGACCAGCAACACTGAAAGGAAAAGAAATCAACAAAGACAAGAGGGAAGGAGGGAGGGGGGCCGGGGAAAAGGAAGGGAAGGGGAAAGTCAAGGAACATATAGCAAGGACTCATGGACAAAACCAAAGGGGAAGAGCTGAGGGAGGGAAGAAGGGAGGGGGCAAGGGAAAGTGGTGGGGGGTAGGCAGAGACAAATGTATTTGAAAAAAATAAATTACTTAAAAAAAAGAAAAGCTTTCAAGAAACCCAACAAAAGTGAGAATTCAAACCTGAAAAAATATAGAAATTTAAACAATCTGAAATGAAGTTTAAATATTTACATACATTAAAGAAACAGAGAAGAGCCCTGGCTGGTGTTGCTCAGTGGATTGTGTGCCGGCTTGCAAACCAAACGGCTGCTGGTTCAATTCCCAGTCAGGGCACATGCCTGTGTTGCGGGCCAGGTCCCCATTTGGGTGTGCATGAGAGGCAATCACACATTGATGTTTCTCTCCTTCCTTTTCTCCCTCCCTTCCCCTCTCTCTAAAAACTAAATAAATAAAATCTTTTTTTAAAAAAAGAAAGAACAGAAACAAAGAAGAGGATAAGATCCCAAGAAACAATGCCAAGGGGTTATAAATCAGCAACATGTAGATCTTTTAAAATATAATTCAAAATATTTTCAGAAAATAGAGCTATTGAAAATTAAAACAAATTAAACTCAATAAATGCCCTAAATAATAGGCATAGAAAGGTTGGAGAAAGAATTCATGAATTGGAGGAGAGAACTGAAGTAATGTATCATTACTGGAAATATACCAACATGAAAAAAATAAAGGAGACATTTAAACACACAAAAGATAAATTAAATAAACAGCAATGACATACACCAAAGATAACTTTAAGAATGAGAAAAAAATATAGAAAGGGAAGAGGTAATTTTTACAAAACTAATGACTTAAAAATAAAGAGAAATTTGAGTCCTTTCACTGAAAATGTCATGTGCTGATCAGGCTAAATAAAAATAAATAACGCATCGACAACAGCTCATTGTGTGCATAAAAAAGGAGAAAGAAACTCAAAATCTAGAAGAATGAGAAAACAAGTTACCTTCTAAAGAACTACAATCAAACAGCTGACTCCTTATCCACAAACAAAGGAAGTTAACAAACCATTTATTAATATCTGCAAAGTGCTGAGGAAAAATAAACATTAATCTGTAATTTTACACCCAGATAAATTATAATTCAAGAACAGGGGCAAATAAAGACAATTTTACATATAAGGATTAGGGAACTTTAGTACCCCTATACACAGGAATAACTGTTAAAGATTATAGTTAATAAGAAGAAAAATAAACTCACAAGGAAGTGACCTGAAAGAACAAGAAAGGGAAAAAAAGTGAACAGCTGATTTCTATACTCAATAAAATGGACTATTTAAGTCTTCAAGACAATGTGTTTGTTTCTTTCAATTTTCTCTTTTCTGGGATTTATCATACCAATTTTTTAATACTTTATTTTTCTCTCAAAATAATTGCTAGCTTATATTTTCCCCTTCTCTCAATACTTGCTTCCTGTTTTACAGCTGGAGTAAATGACATCCATACTCTACTCAATGCTCTTCCATCCTATGTTCCGTGTTTACCTCATGCCTCAACCTCTTTTCCAGGGAAGAAAAACCTCTACATAGCAGTTCAGATGAATTTCTATGACTTTAAACCACCTTTGGAGTCTTCTGCGGAGGTCGGGGGGAATAGCTTTTATAATGCTATATGACAATCAACCTGGAAGATTTTTTAAAAAAATCCTCCAGGATTTTTAAAAGCCTTCCACCCAAACCCCTCTCATACCACTCCTCTGTAATACAATTAGAGTAGAGTAGAAGAAGCAAATAAACAGAAAAATGGTAAGCCTCATTCATTTAGGGATTGATTCCTAAACACAACTTTTAGGTTGTTTATATGCTGAGCCAGTCTCTTACCTCTTGGAGCATATACTATCATCACCAATACTCAGAAATGATAAATCTGTGACATGGCATGAATCTTTGGTCACCTGGTAAGAATCCCTTGTGTTCATCGCAGTGCATTTACTGATTCAGGAAAATTCACTCTACTCTATAAAGGTGGTGACAAAAAGGGTTGGGAATTTCTTTCCCATTAAACAAAAACTCATTCCTGCAACATTTCAGTTAACTGACTTTTCACTGAACCTCATTCCTAACCCCATTCCTTTAACTTTTGCCCTAACACTTTTGGTTTCTCTTATAGGTTCACTCTTTACTACTTAAAAAAGTACCATCTATATCCTAGACTAGTGGTTCCTTGCATTTGTATGGTCATGTTCAGCCCTTTTAGGAATACCAAAAAAGTGATGGATACTCTCTAAAGGAATTTATGCATATATGTAGTTACACCAAAAGCTGCAAACAATTTAAAAGGGTTCCCTGATCACATAAAGCTCATCCATGAACCCCAAATGCAGAACCTCCTTCCTAGAGTGAGCCAAAAAAAAGACTTAATAGGACTATAAGGCTTCTACTTCCCAATCCAAAGATTGTCACTTAGTTTTTCCTAGGACTGTTGTTGGCCCCACAAACATTCTCTGAATCATTGCACACATGCTTCTGGTGTGGGAGCCAGGCTCCAGTCAGATGTGAACAAAGTGTCATTGAGCTAGCCCCTGCCTCAGACAAACACCCTAGCCACAAACCATGAAAGTAAGCATCCTAACAGCCTTGTGAAAAAGTCTCTTCCTGCCTTCCCCTTAGACTTACTCTTAACAATGTGTACATAATAATTGCAGTCTGGAAGAGGTGACTATTTAGCAGACAGGCAGCTTTATACTGTCATAAACCACACTGGTTCAGCTCCTTTGATTTATGAACAGCTCCTCATCATTTAGAAGCTATGCTCAGATGCAATTCCAGCGCTAATTGCATAGGACACGTGCCATGATGCTACAACTCCCTTGATGCACACAGCCTGTGGCAGGAAGAGGCTGTTTACAGTGAAAAATCTCTGGACCACAGTTCCCTTCCCCCAATTGACCTGCACCTTCAAATGATTAAAAGCCCAATGAAAATCTGTTACTGGGTACCCAATAACTTATTAGAGTCTAGAATGTGCCCCGCTTGGGCTATAAACAGTATTTAGGGGCCAGTGTGGGCTGCCTAAAAGTGTCCTATTGTTATTTCTGTCTGGAAGTTTCCCTTCTGGGGAATTAGGGAAATGGAGTGGGTTTGGGTGGAAAAGGGAGGAAGGAGAACCACAGAAAGAAAGAGGCAAACTGGTTTACCTGGGCAACGAGGGCAGCACAGATGAGGAATATGCACAGGAGAGAGGCAATGGAGACTTGGACATCTGACTCGGCTGCAAAGCACATTCCCATTCTGAAAGAGAGGCGGCAACAAGAAAAAAATCAAATGCCTTTCAAAGGTCACTGACATCATGCCAGTTTGGGAAACAGTCATGCAGGGACTCACCCAGACAGTGAATAATGCATTCCTGAGAAGCTGAATGAAATCAGCATTTTTTTTTCTTTTCTCGTCATGAGCACCTCTGCTGGGTTGGTTGATAGCTTATTGGCATATTTTTCTAAGATGGGATCACTACTACTCCAGTTTTCAAAACCTTCCACTAATTTTGGGAGGTTTCTTCTGCCTTGGCTCTGTGGTGTTTCTACCATTCCCCAGTTCTAACTGCACATCTTTTCCAAGAGCCTAGTCTGATTTCATAATTACCTGCTCAATGCCATGGAAGGGAATGGATAATAAGCCATGAATCCCCTGAGCTGCTACCCACCCCTAGGCAAGGAGACATCCCTAGCACATGAATCTTAGGTTCCGAATAACCCTGCCTTGGTACAGTATGTTGAATGCTTTCTCTCTTTATTTCTCTTTTCAGTCTAATTTTTTTTTTCTGAAAACAAGTTAGAGTTTGGAGTTGAGCTGATTAGCTGGTATGTCTGGGTGGGGCAACTAAGTCCCTGCCTAACTTACAGTTACAAGATCCCTAGCTCTGACAGCTCTCAACCATTGTGAGAACAAGGGAAGACTTCAGAAATCAGTTTTTCATTAACATTTTCCATCCATAATTCAGTTGAAATGAGGGTTACTTGTATCTGTCATGCTGTGTGAGAGGTGAGGGTGATGAAGAGAATGGAGAAAGAAAAGATGCCTGGCACTTGAGCTATTGACACTGGGATTGTATAAACACTTGCACTATCCTACAGACAGCAAAGACTCAGCCTCCAAAGGTTAGCAGCCCATTTCCAATGTGTTGGTCAAGAATCTGATAAAATCATGCCATACTAGGCAGTTAAGCAGTCTCCAGAAGCTCTATCCAATAGCTCCTCTAGTTATTTAAAGAGGCAGGCTTCATTTATGCCTCTTTCTTTTCTCATGTACTTTGTAGAAGAAAGTTTGGAGTGTTGCATTTGGACATACCACAGAGCCCCCCTTATGTGTCACACTCCTCAGAAGCAGGTGATATCATTTTGATATGGGATCAAAGCACATCAGAAATCACTCCTCCTGGCTGAGGTCTTAACTGATTTGTTCTTACTGCTTTATTCTGTTCTAGAATTAATCAATTAATTAAAATAATAATTACCATAATGACAGTGATGATGATGACTATAATATGCAGTTAACATTTCTTGAATGTTGACTGTGACCAAGCAGTTTTAAGTGATTAAAATGAATTAGTGAATTTAATCTTTCCTATAACCCTATGAAAAATGTAATATCAATATGCCATTTTAAAGAAGCTGGAGGAATCTCAGAAAATTTAGGTAAATTGTCCAGCATAACATAGCTCATAGGTGGCAGAGCCAGGGTCAGAAATTTGGTCTGTCTTGATGCTAGAGCCATGCAGCCTCTTATGACCACCTGATATTGCCTGAAGGGTAGGCTTCAACATGCTTAAAATTCTGAAAGCCCTAATTTCTGTTAAAATGGCAAAAGTGTCTGCTCCTATTCCACCTGGACACCAAGAAAGAGTTGTAGTTCTTCTATGAAGTCTCAAATGAGAGGCTGGTCTTGAAAATTCTTTCTTATACATTCAGCATTCTTTCTTCTCAAGGCCCAGTACAAGGCCTCCCTTCCCAATTGGCTTAGAGCAGTGGTTCGCCACCAGGGTCAGTCTGCTCCCCAAGTAACTTAAGCCATGTCTGGAGATACTTTTGGTTGTCACAGTTAGGGTCAGTGGTACTGTTGTCTAGTAGGTAGAGGTCAGGGATGTTGCTAGACGCCTGTAATGCACAAGGCAGCCCCAACAACAAGGAATTATCTGTCCACAAAGTCAATAGTGCCAAGGTTGAGAAATGCTGACCTAGAATATGATGGTAGAGGTCTGTTCAGAAAAATGGACCATAGCTGTGGTTCTGGGTTAAGGCCATGGAAAGAAAATGGGACTACCTGTATTGTCTATTGCAAATATAGCATTTAAGCTATCCAAATGCCTCTCCAAGTGACTTGACAGGAGCCAAGGCTAAGCCAAAAAACTCTAATCCTCAACAGGTACAAGCCAAGGTTTTACTACCTCAGTCCTAATTATAAATATTGGCTGAGACAATATAAAATACAGACTCCCAGTGAACTAGTGAATAAGGTGTATATTCTCTTCTCTAAAGGTCAACCCTAAAAATAGTTTCCAAAAAAATTTTGTCTTATAATTCCGACATTATATTGAGCTTTTTCCATAACTCCCAATATCAAACTGCTCTGCCTTCTCCTATCATGTTCCATATCATTTAGCTAAGAGACCATAAGTACATGTCCATAGCAAATACTCAGAGATCTTATGAAAATGAAGCCAAAAGACAAAAGAGGAAATAGACAGAAGATGCATATTTTCCTTGTGATCTGTTTTTTATCTTCTTTTAGGATTCTAACACCCATGGTCCCTGGTCTTCTGGGCACTGAAGTACCTCTGCATGCTGGGGAGCAAACTAGGAAATCACATGCCATGAGGGAGTGTACCTCTGAGCAGATGCAGTTCACACAGTAAACCAAACCATATGGTTCCAGGTAAGGATGCCATCTCTCACCCACTCTGTACTTCTTGTCTTGAAACATACAATATGTCTCTGAATCTGTGAAGAAGGAGATGGAGAATATGATTGTTAGAAAATATGACCATCTTACAAAATCCAAAGGCAATCACAGGTTCCATCTGCTTTAGTGTACATCAAGGAAAGAGGAATAGGGAATATTTACAGAATACCTACTATGGCTCAGAGTTTTATATGCTTTGTTTATTTGATACTACAATGACCCAGTATGGTAAGCACTACTATTAGTCTCATTTTATAGATTAGAGAAATCAAGAGTCATATAACCAGCAAGTAACTGACATGAGACTCAAACCCATATTTACCTGACAGTGAAGCCAACATCTTGACTACTGCTGTATTACAATGGTAAAATAAAGAAACATGTCACATGTCCTTTTGGAAAAGGTTGTGCTCCCTTGCTTTGTAAAAGCAAGCTAACATCTGAAATGCTGATTTATCAGAACATATTCAGACTTGCCTGGTAATGATGTAGGGGTGATGGACTAAATACACTGTGTTAGGCCCCTATAAATGACTTTGCCCACAAATGTTCACATCGTTCAATAATTAAACAAGTATTTGAGCACGTGCTCTTTGTCAGGCACTATACTCAGTGGTAGGGATTAAATGGTGAGCAAAAAGATATACAGTCCTTGCTCTCATTCAACTTAATTGAGTTGTTCTTGCATAAACAACTCCCTATTTAACTCAAAAGTAATGTCTCCTTAACCTTTACTGAAATATAAATTTTCCTAGTTACAGCTTATCTTAGACCATAGTTCCCTGAGCACATACTATGCTACTTTTCTTATTTTACATCTTATTTCTCTCTCAAGGTAAAAGGTCCTCAAAAGTAGGCAACATTTCTTTCTTTACTCTCTATCAATCACATGACATAGCACACTGTGGCCAAAAAATGTAAGCAATCAATAAATAACAGGTAAATAAATTTGCAAACCATCTGGTTTGTCTTCTATCCTCTTCTGTTTCCTGATTCCCATGATAGAAAGCCAAAATATGCTAAGACTCCTCTTGTAGCAAACACATTAATTTCCCTCACTTGCTAGTATGCATTCCCATAATGATCAAAATTGAAAAAAATAAAGAAAAGACAGATGAGTAAGAAATTGAGAGATGACATCGCCAAAACCTGAAGCATTAGAATCTGAAACATTTTTAATTATTCAAGTCAATCAGTAAAGGATTAACAAATCCAATAGAAAAAATGGTTTGATGTTGGTGAGAATGCAGACTGATGCAGCTACTGTGGAAAACAGTATGGAATTTCCTCAAAAAACTAAAAATGGAACTGCCTTTTGTCCTGGCAATGCCACTGATGGGATTATACCCTAAGAGTCCTGAGACACCAATTCAAAAGAACCTATGCACCCCAAAGTTCATAACAGCACTATTTACAATAGCCAAGTGCTGGAAGCAGCCTAAATGCCCATCAGTAAATGAGTGGATCAAAAAACTGGTACATTTACACAATGGAATACTACACAGCAGAAAGAAAGGAGTTCCTACCCTTCACAAGACCATAGTTGGAACTGGGAAGCATTATGCTAAGTGAAATAAGCCAAGCAGTGAAAGACAAATACCATATGATCTCATCTATAAGTAGAAACTAATCAACAAAACAAACAAATAAGCAAAATAGAACCAGAGACATCGAAATAAAGAACAGACTGACAATGACCAGAGGAGAGGGGGGAGGGGGATAAAGGAAGAAAGAAGGATAAGGGTAAAGTCAAGGAACATGTCTAAAGCACCCGTGGATGAAGACAACGGAGAGGGGAGGATTAAATGTGGCAAGTTGGGGGTGGGGTGGTGAGTAGGGCAGGGGAGAGTAATAGGGGAAAATGGGGACAACTGTAACTGAACAACAATAATTTTTTTTTAAAGAAAAGGAAAGTGGTCTGAGGATATAAATAGCAATTTAGAGAAGAAGCAATAAAAACAGGAAATAAACATAAAAAGATGTTCCCCTTACTAGTAACCTGAGATTCAAATTAAAACTACACAGAGATCATTTTCTCAAGCCTCTTACTGCTTCAAAGACCCTCTATGATTCTTTACAACTATCCACAAGATGAATTACACTTTTCTTTTCAAATCTTTATCTCCAACCTCTTCAAAATGATAAACTAAGATCAGAAAATTTGGGTTTGACAACAGGTGCTGGTGAGGCTGTGGAGAAAAGGGAACACCAGTACACTGTTGGTGGAAATGCAGACTGGTGCAACCATTGTGGAAAGCAGTGTGGCATTTCCTCAAAAAGCTGAAAATGGAACTTTTGATCCATTTTTGATCCATTCTGGATCCTTTTGATCCAGGGATTCCCCTGCTGGGACTATACCCTAAGAATTCCAAAACGCCAATTCAAAAGAACCTATGCACCCCCATGTTCATAGCAGCACAATTGACAATAGCCAAGTGTTGGAAGCAACCTAAATGCCCATCAGTAGATGATTGGTACAAAAAACTATGGTACATTTACACAATGGAATACTATGCAGCAGAAAGAAAAAAAAGAACTACTAAACTTTGCGACAGCATGGATGGAACTCGAAAGCATTATGCTAAGTGAAATAAACCACGGGGCGAAAGACAAATACCATATGATCTCACCTATAAGTGGAACCTAACCAACAATACAAAGATGCAAGGAAAATAAGACCAGCAACACTGAAAGGAAAAGAAACCAACAGAGACAAGAGGGATGGACGGAGGGGGGGATGGGGGGGAAAGGAAGGGCATGGGAGAGTCGGGGAACCTGTAGCAAGGTCTCATGGACAAAACCAAAGGGGAAGGATGGGGGAGGGAGGGGTGGAGGGGGCAGGGGAAGGTAGTTGGGGGAAGGCAGAGACAAATGTATTTGAAAAAAATAAAAAAAATTAAAAAGTTAAAAATATAAAAAAATAACTAATATTAAAAAAAAAGAAAATTTGTGTTTGAATCCTCACTTGCTTTAGCTATATGGCATTGAGCAAGTCATTTAAAGTCAATCTCAGTTTTTAACATCTGTGAAATATGGATTATATGTTTCTCATGCAGATGTCGGAGGATTTAATGAAGCTCTGTGTAAATTATAAAGTGATACACAATGTAGAGTGTTATTTTGTACAAATTATTTTCTAATTTAAAAAGTAATGTAAGTTCAATATGGAAAATTGCAAAACATACAGATATGCAAAAAGAACAAAATAAAAACACAAAAGTATACAGAGTAAAGAAATATTACACAAATATAGCATGAGAAGACAGCCACTCTTAATATGCTAGTAACTTATAAATAGCCTATGGGTTGAAGAAAACATGAAAAGGTAAATTAGAAAGTATTTTGTACTAAGTGAAAACACAACATATCAAAATTCAACTAAAGAAGTACTTAAAAGGAAATTTATGTTACAAAACACCTACATTAGAAGAGGCGAAAAGTCTCAAGTCAACACCTTAAGGAACTAGAAAAAGTAGAACAAAATAAACCAAAAGGAAATACATAAAGGGTATAATAAAAACAGAAATTGATAAAAATTAAAAACAGAAAATCAATAGAAAAAAATCAATGAGACCAAAACCTGGCTCTTTAAGAACAATAAAATTGATAAACTTCTAGCAGGATTAACAAAGAGAAAATGTAAATGACTAATACTAGGGTAAAAGAGGGCTGCATTATAAATCCCACAAATATTAAAAGGATAAAGAGAATATTATTAATAACTTTATACCAAATAATTTAACAACTTAGATGAAATTAATTCTTTTTTTAACCCATTCAATTATTTTTTTCCTTTTTATTGCATTTATCAGATAACACTAGTTAACAAAATTATACAGGTTTCAGGTTCACAATTCTACAACTCATCAACTGTACACTGTATTGTATGTTCATCACCCCAAGTCTCTTTCCTCCATACTCTCCTCTACCTTTAACCCATTCAATTCTCAATGCATACAATTTTTTTGTTTATCTCTTAAGATCAAATTCTGGCCTCCATGTACTTGAATTACCAGAGAACCCTTATAATATAATATAATAAGGCATTATTATGCTATAATATAAATATAATAATATAAATGTTATAGCATAAATAATATAATATAAAAATTATAATGCATTATATTTATGAAATAAATTATAAATAAATATAAAATATTTTATTTATATTTATAATGCATTATAATATAAATACAGCATTATTATTCTGCATGAAGTGAAACAAGGCCCAATACTTCCAAAGAGTTCAGATTTTGGAGAGCTCTTAAATTGTGCAGAGAACACCAGAAAGGAAACTGGCTTCTAGTTCTATCACTTAGTAATTACAACATCCTAGACAAAGTGAAATAAACCATTCTAAGCCTCAACTTTTCTATATTACTTGGAAATAATGCACTCATCTTATGGGGCTATTTTGAGATTGAATATGAAAGTAGATTGGAAATAATAAGCATTCAATATATGATAAAATACAATTAATAGTGAATTTAAGGCAAATTAGAAATGGACAGGGATACTAATGTTATTAACTGATTTAACAAATTAAAAAAATAAGATTAGTAATTCTACATTCTCTTGAGATCGAAGTTGGGAAATTCTAAGAGAGAAATGTTGACATATTTCAAATATCCAAGTGTTTTTTAATCTATTTTTTATGCCTCCATGGGCTAAGATGAGACAGTCTTCTTAAAGCCTTTGTTGAAATATGGATGTTAAAGAAGTATCTTGGTAACCTTCGCAGGCTTTTAAGTGGGAAGTAATGTAGGGCCAAGGTTAAGATCAAGACTTGAGGCCAGACAGACTTGATTGTATCTACGTGTCTGCTCCTTACTAACTCTGTGTCCTTGCTCCCCACTAACTGCATGTCCTGAATACAAGGCTTAACCTATTTTTGTCTCAATTTTTCTATCTAAAAAATAAGAGGAAACTTTCAAACACATGTAACTTTCAACCATATATAATTCTAAAAAATATTGAATGAGATTGTATAAAATGCTTTGCACAATGCCCTAGCATATATGAAGTAGTCAGCATTAAC